AATTATTTTCTGGCGAGAGCGGATGACCCATTCTATTGGGACGTTATTTTTTGTGATAAAGGACTTACCCCTCTATCCTTAGCCAACGAGCAATGGCAAGACCCGGCAGTACAGAGCATTTCCGACCGGGAGACCGTATGGAAGGAGAAGGAGCTCCACGGGAGGTTCTACAAGGCTCTACATAAGCCTTTCGTAGATACAGTTGCCTCCCTCCACTGGCTACGTTTTGGTAACCTCTTCGGGGAAACCGAGGGTTTTGTCTGTGCAATACAGGATCAGGTTATTAAGACCAACAACTATCGGAGATACATCCTAAGGGATGGCACCGTCGATATTTGTCGAGCTTGTCGCCATCCTGGTGAATCACTTAGGCACGTCATCTCCGGTTGTTCGGCGCTTTCTAACTCTGAGTACTTTCATAGGCACAACCTAGTAGCCAGGATTCTACACCAGGAGCTCGCTCTGAAATACGGTCTCGTGGATCGGAAACTGCCTTATTATAAGTACATGCCGGAAGCCGTGCTCGAAAATGGCCGCGCCAGGCTCTACTGGGACCGGGCCATCATCACAGACAGGACCATTCTTGCGAATAAGCCTGATATTGTGCTGATGGACCGGGCACAGTCAAGGATATTTTTGGTCGACATTACCATTCCTTATGACGAGAACCTCGTGAAAGCCGAAACAGATAAGCGAACAAAATATCTGGACCTGGCTAACGAGGTGACCGACATGTGGGGTGGACTGCCGGCCGAAATTATACCTGTAGTCGTTTCTGCGAACGGGTTAATCCCAGTCAGCCTCTCGGGTCATCTGAGACGACTGGGACTCCGTGGCGGACCGCTCCAAGCTCAAATGCAGAAGGCGGTGCTCCTCGATACTGCCCGCATCGTCCGCAGGTTTCTTTCCCTTTCCCCCTAACTCTCGGCCGTCTGCTCTCCCCTGCCGAGGGCTTCTATTTGGTTGGGTTATTATTTTTTTATGCATTTATTTTATTTTGTTGATATTTATGTATGTTTATCATTTTCATTTACAATTATATATTTATACAGCCCAACCAGATGAGTAAACTATATAGATGCCCCAAATAATAATAATAATATAATTTATTTAGTTCTAAACATAAACACAAATTAACATAGCAAAATAAATTAATGGAATGGAACTAAAATGGCGTCTACTCAGCACAAATGTTATAGAAACGACATAGTGATAACTATAACGCTGATTTTCTGTAAACGCCAGAGACATAGGTGCAATAAAATAAACTTAGCTAATCCCACGCTCCAATATAAAAATAAAAATACACTCTTATAAAATTTATAAATAATAGTAAAAAAAACTGTTAACATTTAGGAAAAAAAAGGCACAATAATAATAAGCCAACGGAACAAAAAGCGTAACAAAAGGCATATGCGAGGCACAAGGCACACAAATTATTTAATAAGATACAAAAGTAAAATAAATGGAGAATTAAGCAAGTATTTTTATAATATACAAACACAGTATACATCATAAGAAAGGTGTGATACATCGACACAGAATTATACTACCTTTGCAAATTTAAAAGGTATTCTTTTAGTTTTACTTTAAAAGTGCGAAATGCTGCTACCCTTGATCGGAGGTGGTATATTATTCCAACACTTTGTGGCAGCATACCGAAAGCTACCACTAAACGCAGCCGTTCTGTGTCTTGGGTACAACAAGCGAACAGTATCCCGTGAGGAACGTTGCGAGAAACTGAGCTTCTCATATAAGTATTTCGGTTGTTGACTACGAGGGATTCGAAAACAGAACCTAGCAGAATCATTTTGTACTCGCTGTATAACGAGTTTGGTTCGCGCAAGCAAACACTCTCCCATGACAATATCAGCATAATTTAGCTTCTAGAGTATTAGTGACTCAAAAAGTTGAACTCTCAATTCTTCACTAAGGTATTATAATGTTTTTAATCTGTAAAAACAATTTTTTACTGTATGGCTAACATGATTTTCAAACCTTAGTCTACTATCCATAATTATACCCAAGTTACGAACTTCGGATACATGTTCAATATGGTTGCCACCAACAACAATTTTAGGCTTATGAGCATTCGTTTGTTCTATTAATTTCTTTGACCCCAAAATCATGAACTTTGTTTTATTTGAATTTAAGATGAGTAGAATAGAATAGAATAGAATAGAATAGAATAGAATGATTTTTATTCAATATGGATTATTACATAATACTTATTGAAAGTCATTATTTTATTTACCACTGGTTCGGAAAATACCTCTGTCCTGGGAAGAACCAGCAAGAAACCCAGCGGGACTTTTTTTTTAAACATAATTTCACTTAACAATAATTTTGTTTATACAATTTTAAATGAATTTTCATAGAACCAGCATGGTGGCGATCACCTTATTCCCAGGGTTATTTTCATTCATGTATTCCTTGATATTATAATAACCCTTTTTGTACAGTTTTTCTTTAATAAAACTTTTAAACTTGTTTATTGACAAACTTTGAACATGTTCTGGGATTCTGTTGTAAAAGCGTATACATTGCCCCATAAATGAATTACTAATTCTGTGGAGTCTTGTAAGTGGCATTACAAGCTTATGTTTGTTCCTAGTGTTTAAGGTATGAACATCCTTATTCTTATTAAAGCTATTTATGTTTTTATGTACATACATTACATTTTCATAAATATATTGCGATGCCAAAGTTAATATGTTTATTTCTTTAAATTTTTCTCTAAGGGACTCTTTACAATTTAGATTATAAATCGAGTTCATTATTATTCGCCCATTCAGCGATCATGCTTAAATCCAGATTTAGTTTGTTAACTGTCTCATTTGTATCATCCAGCCTAAATGATATGTAAACTTGAAGGTCGTCGGCATATAAATGATACTGGGAATATTTAAAACAGCCCGCAATATCGGCACTGTAAAGGATAAACAGTAAAGGACCTAGAATTGACCCTTGTGGAACGCCACGAGTAACAGGAGACGCAACAGAAAAATGTTGGTACCAGTTTCATTTCGAAGTCTGACTCGCTGTATATGACCATTTAAATAACTTTCAAACCACTTTAATGCGTTACAGTCAAAACCATAATACATCAACTTCGACAGAAGTAAGGTAGTATCTATTGTGTCAAATGCACGAGAAAAGTCCAGCAGTGTCAAAATTGTAGCCTCTCCTTTATCCTGCGCTGTTAAAATATCATCGACAACACTCAATAGCGCTGTAACCGTGCTTAGTCCAGCCCTAAAACCTGATTGTTTTAGAGGTCAAATGTTATTCTGGTTTAGATATTCCATTAATTGCATATAAACAGCCTTTTTAGCGATTTTAGATAAAAAAAGGCAGTATACTTATAGGTCGAAGATGATTTAGTTCTACAGGCTGATTATTTTTTGGTATTGGACTAATTACAGCCTCCTTCCAGATGTCTGGGAAAAATTCTGTCCGTATCGACGTATTAATAATGGTGGATATAGCACTCAAAGTCCGTGGCAAAGTTAAGAGAACCATATCTTTAGTAATACCATCTACACTCATAGCATTTGTGGTAATATTTTTTAAAATTTCTGATACCATGTTTTCATCCACTAATTTTAAAGTAAAAACCGACGAATTGAAACGGTTAGATTCAAAATAGCGTAATGTTGAAGGACTTACACTATTGCTTCCTGGTATGTGTAGAAAATGACGATTTATGATGTCAGGATCATTCAAGTTTGATGGCAAATCAATATCTTTATTTTTGAAGTCTACCACATTTTTCTTTATATTTCTCCAAAGTACTTGAGGATTTTTTGAATTTATTTCGGATTAAATATAGCCTAGATCCCTGCTGGCATTCCTGTCTATTGTTTTAAAGTTACAGCACAATCCGTTCAACTTTTAGAGTATTTATAAGTTGAGTTCAGCCATTCCGAAGATTAGCTCGCACAGACAGACAGACAAAAATTTTAAAAATGGTTATTTATGTCTTAATAGCATGCAAATAATCCCCTCAGCTTAATAGAAGCCAGGTACTTTAATATTACAGATGGACACTTCAATTTTATTTATATGTATAAATTCTAATGAATATTATCCAACCACTGACTTGTATTTCGCGCCCTTGAACACTCCGCAATTAATATTCAAGTGTTTGTTATGATGCTTCTTGTGACGTAATAAATTGTCAGCTTTGTCACCCTTAATTCAAAGCGTATAGTATCAAATAGTGAAATTCTAATATAAAGGAAAGGTAAATCACATTACGTGACTCAATTACAATGAGGATCGCGACCCCAAAGCGAGCTCCGTTCGTAAAGAATGTTAGCTTGTGAAAAGGGATATCTTTTTTATAGCTATCTTATAGTTCGCTGCGTTTAAGTTGTTAAAGAGTAAGTCATGGCGCGGTAATAAATAGAAGGAGAACTTTTAGGTCTCAATTCACAAGAACTACATATGCTTTATGCATAGTAAAATTAAAAGAGAAGGACAATTCAAACTGAAGCGAAAGCCCGCATAATGTAAAATACTATTTTGCGCAAATCGCTGCTCAAAATGATGCAAGTTCCTGCTTATTTATTCTCACTAGGATCATTTATCTAACATAATATGTGCTTATATCTTAATTTTTGCAAAATTACTTTGTAAAACATAAAAACTTATTGAGCCAATAGTGTCTTAGACAATTCTCATATTAATTGACGCGACTATACGCGCTCATACGAGTAGCTTACGAACGCAACCAACGTATCGACTACCGCGTTCCGCACAAAATTCACTTCAGTTTGAACGAATCTTAAATTCCATTAATATTATAAACACGATGAAGAATTATATAGAGAACAGTTAAGACAAAACACATTCGTTTTCTTGCATACGGCTCGTACAGAATTTATGGTGTCATATTTGTTTGTGATATGCTAGTGCGCTTTACCATTCCTTACTATACATATAGGTGGGGTGATATCGGTGAGAATGTTAAAATAAAATTTTATGTTTGTGTGCAGATGGGAGCAGGCGCGACCGGGCCCGGCGGGCGGAAAGCACTCGAGCTCATACTAAGCAGTGGGCTCAAGTCGCTGGCGAGGCCGGCCAAGCCGGTGCGACGCGCCGCCTCACGAGACTCGGTGCTGTCGCAGCCGCAGCCACTGCTCGAAGGTTAGAGGATGACATTAATTTCGGGTGGTCAGTTTCATCGGAGACCAGCTATTTGCGTAGGACAGGATTATAGTGCACGAGGGTGTGCGCGTGCGAGTAGAGGATAAATGCACTATATTCCATCCAGAAAGGACCACGCTCGCACAGTAAAATAGCAGCTTAATGCTGCTGCTGTGTCATATGGTAAGTGTAAAGAATCGGATACCCTTTTTACTGGAAACGAGGCATTCTATCTTAGTCCTCAGGTGTGATAAACGTATCTGCATTTTGATTTTTAATTGAGGATAGATGTAATAATAATAATAATAATTCTTTATTCACAAGACTTAGCCTACAATTACAATGATATGCGTGAATTCGTACTCAAGATTTGTGTAGATATTTGTAATATATTGGCTATTTTTTGCAACAACAAATTAGTCTTCTACCCCCCGTACTAGTAAAAAACTGTATGACGGCAGAGTAGTGCGGCTAGTTCATTGTATTCGAGGCAGTAATTAACTACCTGATTGTATATAGTTTAACCAAAACATTCACATGAAGAAAATATTGCGTTTTTAGTTTTCAAGATGTTATAACTACATTAACAAATCTTAGACTTTTAAGTTATTAGAAAGCATTGTCATTCTAAATTTTGAACAATGATAATAATAAATTACTTATACAATATACATACAAGTTTATATTGTATATTATGCTAAGTATTTTGTACTCTAGGATTATCTAAGTTATTATAAAAAGTTCATCAATGATTGCCACCCCTCACAAATAAAGGAGCAACATTACAATAAAGAGAACAAAAGCGATAAATATCTTAAATTAGTAGATAATTAGACAAAAAAAATCAAAAAATATAAAAATATTTAAAAATAGTAAAGAATTACACAAATAATAAAAAAATCAAAAAATAAATCATTCAACACTCCTTAATAACTTTTCAGTTAACTCATAGTCAATCGTTTTGAGATATTTATCTATATATTTTTTACAAATGAATTTGTTGCATTTGGATATAGATAAGATCTTATTTAAACGGTTATATAGTAATGGTCCTAGGTACGGAAAAAAATTCTGGGCAAATCTTGTTCTACAGAGAGGAATATTATAGACAGCAAAAGGCCTTCTTGTATTAGATAATTCTAAAGGTTTGGTATGTTGTTTTATGACTGTGGTCTTAATATACAATTGTCTTACAGTAAGCACGGAGTAATCCTTATAAAGGTCTGAAGTTGGATATCGGAAGTTTCTAAAATTAATTATTTTTATAATTGCTCGCTGAACTCTCTCAACGTGAATTAGATTCGTTTTAGAGGCAGCTCCCCATGCTTGATTGAGATGTAAATGTCTATGTGCCACAGTAATCACCATTAGTTGGACTGTGTAAGATCCAGAAATCAGCCGTGCGAAGCCGAGGCAGATCGCTAATAATTAATAAAATTAAATCCAAACTTAAGCAATCTACAAGTAAATCCAAATCAATATGCTATCATTTCGTTCAGCGTACATTTGACTAAAAATATTAGTTGTTAAAAATTCAATTACGTGGATATACCGCGCAATTTAAGTTTTAAAAACTTTATCTAATATAATGGATTTCCGCAAAATTCTATTAATTATCTTAAAAATTATATAATTTTAAAATTGGAGGTACCCGGCTTGTTATGATATAAAAGGACATTGCCCTGCGCCCATACATCGTTCGCCCTGGAACCAAGAGCATCGGAAAATTATGTATTGTATTTTTGATCATTAGTAAATTCCTATTTGATCTTATTTTTATAGCGGACTAGCTGCATAATAGATATATTTCAAAAAAAGTATCAGATTTTGAGGTTATAATCGAACCGCGAATATTACGCTTTTTCATAGATCCGAGTGATTTTTAATAAACTGAAAAACGATGTCCTAAAACATTTAGCTATTTTTATTACCTATCTACATAATTAGGTATGCAGTTTTTGTTCTAAAGCCTAAGTGTATGTAAGTGCAACGTATAAATGCATAGAACCTAGTTAACAAACCTGCTTTCTGAGCATTGGTTTTGAAATGAGAGATAATATTTATGTGTGTTAATGTAAAAATAAAAATGTATATTTATAATGGCTGTTAGCATTTAGATGTTGTCATTAGCATATACGGTACGTTAAGATACCTAGTACCTAAATGTATAAGGATTTAGGCTGTCAGTCACGCCGCTAGACATGCCGTCGAACAACGAACGTATCAACCACGGTTTCAACCAAGTTTCAACAGCGCGCGCGTGAATAGCGTGAATATTATCGACTACTATCTAGAGCATTTGCAAGGGTGTGCGTCTGGACGACGCTGTTTAAACGCGTGACTATGAAACCAGCCTTACAGACTTAGTACCTAATTGATAGTATAAGTTGTTTTTACACCTACATTAACTTATTATGTTTGAATTAGAAATAAAACACAGATTGATTTCATGTTTATTGTTCATCTTCTAAATTGGAAATTAGAATATCGTCCAAAAACTGAGCAGGGATGTGGATATTATTTTGATGTCTCGTAAAGCTCAAGTACCAAATAATGGTCATAACATAGGTGCAGCAACCGATGGTTCTGCGTACAACGATGCAATTATAGCAATATTACACGATTGCTTCTCTGTTCACCCTTCAACAATATTGTACCACCAGCAGAGCCGCAATTTACACAAAATACACTTTCCATTGCGTATGCGTAAGTCCGTTTATGAATGCTAGGTTATCGTTTGAGCGATACAAAGTTCCAAAAATCACAGCAAGGTAAGTCGTTCATGAAATCAATCAGCGTCCGTTAAAATAGCCAAGTTGTAATGTTCAATATAATATAGTCCCGAAAGTCACCACAACACCGATAGAATTACAATTGCAAACGACGCCAACCAATGTAGTTTTGACAGAATGAAAGATGACAGTACAAAGTAGGTATGTCAATTTGAAATCGTTTAATAGATTGTTTATAGTAAAATAATCGATTTTCCAGATCGATATAGATCTGAAGAATCCTTGTCCGATGTCGATACAAAAACCTCTCGAATCGGAATTATTCGAGGACTAGCTTTATTTCAAACGATTCAAGAAATACTTTTGCATAGTTGGAACATCTGTTCCTTGTGACAGACAGAAAAACTGTTCTGTTCTGGTTTCGATCCCAGGGTCGGGCAAATTGCACGGAGTCTGGATTTGTGTACGTTGTTTCGCAATACGCGCAACAACGTTCGCAAAACCCCTGTTACAACCTTCTCCTTATGGAAAATACAGGCGTGATGTTATGTTTATTAATTTGATGATGTTTTATACAGTTACTTGTATTTACGGTAAATTATCGTCAATAATTTTTTGTGTCTATATTAGGCATGTTTGAAAATGTCGCGATTGATCAAAATAGATCTGTTAATGCTTGATTTAATCGAGAATCGATTCTAGTACGTTCAATTTGAATGGATTTGAGTCGATCTGGAGATCGTATTTTTTTCATGAGAGACTGACAAGTGACAAGTGACCATTTAGTGACATCAAAAATAGGAACGCCAAATACGATACGATTTATGAATATTTCCTAAGATTGATTATAGCCATACATTACAAACAGTATTAAATAAATCATCTTTTGTCATACGATAATATTAATACCATAACAAGTATGACAATATCCTACTTTACTTATAATAACACGTACGCCTCTACTTCTTCCATACTTGTAACAATATTAATAATAACATCTGTACTAGTCTGCAATATTGCTCTTTTTAAAGAACACATTTATAATTAATGCAGTAACGATAAGTGTTTTTTTTTTTAATATTAATTATCGTAAACTTGTAATTTATCGTTTAGTAAGACATAAAATACACTCCTTTCTAAACGATCATTAGAAAATCCTGAATAATTATCTTTACGAATATTTTTCTTTAGCATTATTATAACTACCTATTCAAAATCGAGTATGACCTCATTCAATAGGTATAGTACGTTTTTTAAATTGTACTTTTAGGGAATAATATAAAAGATTATAAAGAAATGGTAATTTAATATTGTTATTGTAGCTTCTTTTTGCAACTTTATTCGAAATAAATTCAAAATGTAATTCAGATTAAAAAATATACAACAGTTCATTAAAAATTCAAAAACCGATTACGATTGATTGAACATCCCTAATCATTTTTCGACACCACATGATGTTTGGCGAAGATGGCGGCGATTAATGTTATTAGTCGAGTATAATACTTTTTAATGTTAATTTTTGCACGCAGCTAGTCCGTGTTATAAAAGTATTTCCAATTAATATAATAAAATTGAAAATTTATTATCGTGTATGTCCGATGCTTTTATTACACAGGGCGATTTTGGACATTGTCCTTTAATTAAATGACAAATTGATCTGATCGCTTCCGTTGTACAATATAATTTAATACTGAACTAAAAAATGGGTACAAAATAATACTGAACCTACTCGATAGCGCCCTCTAGTTTATTTTTCAGTAATTTATCATCCCAATGCCATCTATAATAGCACAAGAAGAAACTCCTGGTTTCCTCACCTAATAATTTGTCAGAGTGGCTCATCTATGCCTCATGTACAACGAGCCTTATAGGGGTAAAATACCTCAATTCGCTTGCCAGACGTGACAATGAAGGCATATCTTGCCCAACAATGCGATTTTGCTCTCCGATGAAGAAGCAGAAGCTAAAAGCTGTTATAATTCGCCAAATTAATAAATTTTTCGTAATTTCACTCAAGTAGTCCAGTACTAGTAGTATTAAAGTAGTTAATTTACTTTTATGTCATTATTCTGAGTGGGTTATCGTTTCTTTTTATTGCCCTTGACAATAAATACCAGGCATTTACGTCCGTCGTCCGTATCTCTCTCTAACTTTCCTCTACGGGACTAATTAGGTTCGATTAACGACGACTATTGTAAGTCTTGATTACAATTGAATTGTGGTACAAGTACCGATCTATTTATCTTATTCCGGGTAATTCTTAGCATC